CACACACACACACACACGTAGTCATAAACACACACATAAGATATATATATATATATATATATAGTCACACACACACACGTAGTAATAACCATACACACACAGTCAGATCATATTCATATGTGGAATGGATACAGAGACGCCCTCAGCATCTGTCACTGACCTCTGTATTCACTGGTTGATTGTTTGTGTCTGGCCCTGACCTCTCTAACCACTGGTTGTTTGCCTGTGTGACTATGCAGTGGGACCTATTCTGGCCTTCACCTTCGGCACAATGATTCTGGACTGGAAAATGGTGCTGCACGGACTTAAGATGGAGTTGCTCTCATTGCTGATGTGTGCCGGTGTGGGGTATGTGCCGGGCGAATGAGTCATGGTCCAACCCTGGGAAACGGGTGCAGCACCTGTGCTTTGTATTTGAGGCTCTTGCACTGTACCCCATGTGCATATTAAATACATGAATATACTGAACCACAGGTCACAACCCATCCCATTCACCCCGTCTTCCGCCCACACCCGTTGTCAACCTCAGCGTCTCACCATCACATACACAGATTTCTAGTAACCGCCAATCCATGTTCACCCGAGTGCCTCACCATCACATACACTGATTTCTAGTAACCGCCAATCCGTGTTCACCCGAGTGCCTCACCATCACATACACTGATTTCTAGTAACCGCCAATCCGTGTTCACCCGAGTGCCTCACCATCACATACACTGATTTCTGGTAACCGCCAATCCGTGTTCACCCGAGTGTCTCACTATCACATACACAGATTTGTAATTGGCGCCATCTTCACACCACTCGCGCGAGACCCGAATTTCAATTGGCCCAACGCGGAGATGGCCAGCCGTGGCACATTGACGGCTTGTCTGATTTCTCTGGGCATTGCTATACCGGTATGTGAATTAAGCTATACCGGTATGTGGACTGAGCTATACCGGTATGTGAATATAGCTATACCGGTATGTGGATGGATTAATAAACTAACACACACGTGGATGGAGGTCTGGTGCCTCTCGCATGCGGAGTTGTATAGACATAAATACTATTACGTACATGTATGTGCACGGTATGACGGTGTTATGCGTAGTATTTGGAGATATAGTGCTATATCTGCACGTATATGTACCATATTGTGCATATGAAATATATCTGCACGTACATGTAACATATTGTGCATATGATATATATCTGCACGTAAATGGATACAGGTCTGATATATATCATATGCACAGTATGTTATATATTTTGTTTCACTAGTACGTACATGGAGGGGCTGATGTTGCCCTGACCATTCCGTCTGCCCCTAATCCCAACTGTCCTATTTACAGTCGGGGGCAGGTGTTGCCCTGTCCATTTCGTCTGCCTCTAATCTCAACTGTCCTATTTACAGTCAGGGGCAGGTGTTGCCCTGTCCATTCCATCTGCCCCTAATCCCAACTGTCCCATTTACAGTTTAGGGCTGATGTTGTCCTGTCCATTCCGTCTGCCCCTATTCCCAACTGTCCTATTTACAGTCAGGGACCGGTGTTGCCCGTTCATTTCGTCTGTCCCTAATCCCAACTGTCCTGTCCTATTTATAGTCGGGGGCAGGTGTTACCCTATCCTGTCCTATTTATAGTCAGGGGGCAGGTGTTGCCCTCTCCATTTCCTCTGCCCCTAATCTCAACTGTCCTATTTACATTCAGCAGCAGGTGCTGCCCTGTCCATTCCGTCTGCCCCTAATCCCAACTGACCTGTCCTATTTAAAGTCTGGTGCAGGTGTTGCCCTGTCCATTTTCTCTGCCCCTAATCCCAACTGTCCTGTCCTATTTACAGTCAGGGGCAGGTGTTGCCCTGTCCATTCTCGGAAACAACACCTCGTCGCTGGTAGGAGTGGCCATTTCCGCGTCGCTGCTTCCGCCGGCTGTCAATTGCGGCATCTTCTATGGTGTGTGTTGGATGGCATATAAAAATCTACATGGGGATTGTATTTCGTCCGAAAACCCTAAAACCTAAACCTTGTGCCCTGAACCCTGTCGCCGTAGTTTACCCGTCGAGGATCCCAGTTGCTGGATACAGTGCATAAGTCACCCACTGCACCTGCTCTCATGGAGAAGCATGCTTGTCCTGTTTCGTGGCATAGGGACCGTTGAGTATTGAACCATATCACCTATGACGCGCTACTAATGGCACTAGTACTTGCATTGCAGCTTATGCCATATTTGGACCAATGTTCTTCGACGACTTGACACCTTCGGCATCGGAGCTGGCCGTGTCAGGATCATATAGCATGTTACTTACCATCGTAAATATACTGTGTATCTACACAATGGGTATGTGAGGTTGGTTGTTGTTTCGTGTGTGTGTTTGTTTGACATTATAGTTTATGCGCGCGTATTTATATATGTTTGTACATTTTCAAGCATGTATTTATAAATATATGTTGTGTATCTATGTGTATTCTGTGAATGAATATATACATATTATATATATATATGTGTGTGTGCGTGTGTGTGTGTGTACGTACGTGTATTATATATATATATACACGTACATACATATATGTACTTATGTATATATATATATATACATATATATATATATATATATATATATATATATATTTTATATATATATATATATATAATATATTATTGTATTCTACTATATATTTGTATATATATATATATATATATATAATATATTATTATATTATACTATATATTTGTCGATATATAAATATATATATGTATTTATATATAAATATATATATATTTATATGTTTGTGTGTGTGAATATATATAATTATATATATGGATATATGGATATACATATATACATATGTATGTATATATATATATAGATATAGATATATGTTTATATATATATATAAATATAGATTCGTATATATATATGTGAATATTTTGTGAAATGCATGCAATCTTTTCTGTATAGTTCTGATCTATTTGACTTGATCTTCGTAGGGGTACGGTGTGAAGCTTTCTATTTGTATTAGCTTGTTTATTTTATTGCATTTGATTATTTATCCTATGCAGAGGGTGTGACCATTTTTAGACCATCTGCACATCACTAGATACGTAACCGATAGTCCTTCTTCCCAGGGAGGAGAGATTCACATGCCTATATCAGGCAACACGTGTCTGTACGTTGAGTCTATTCTCGTTCTTCTTAGTCGCAGACGACTGGGTGTGTCACATGGGGCGACCACGTGTTTAAGGTTAACCCTTCTCTCCACCTTGACATTCACTTCAAGGTCTGGTGATGTTCAAAATCAAGGAGGTGGCACCCATCCCCGGCAAAACGGACTTCTGGAAATCCGCGGTCCGTGCACAACGCATGCACCACTCAGGCCAAACCCAACGAGCTCGGGACTACCACGACACACACACGTCCGGTGACATTATCCGCAACACCCAGGACAGCAAGTGTGATCTTGCGGACGAACATGTCAGTATCCATGACAACGGTTCAACGCTGCGACAAAGGCCCGTCCCAGCCGGTGGGCCGTCTTTCAGGGGTGGTATATTGGATCTGCCTCTGCGCTCAGCTGCCGTTGGTACGGGCGCGTCAGTACCCGACGAAGTGTATGGGACCAATCTCGGGGCGTTAATGGCCTTTAGACCTCCGGCGGAAGATCAGGAGCATTTGAATATGCTGCACAGGCACGTGAGTGAGTCTATGGCCCAGAGCGAGGTTAACCATGGAGTGGTCAGGCGGCAACTGCCCCAGACGTACTATCCCAGTGTGCAGGATATGTGGCATCCTCCAAGGAGTTAGCTAGTGATTAGATTTAATATTTATGAATATCGAAGGGCAGTCATCAAGCTTCCAGTATAAGTAGTGTTGTACAGCTACATAAATATAAAAATTAGCGAGTCAAAAGTATCACAAAGGATTATAAAGATTAGTGAGTCATAAGTATCACAGGGGATCGTACGATAACGATCTTCACTATCACTACCAACCCCCTATTATCTCGGTACCTGCTAGGCAACACACCCATGGAAATCATAACATACGTTTGGCCAACGTGCGATATGGCTAGCATACCACAATTCTTAGCTCATGCGGTCGAATTTTGACAGGTACTGACGGTACAGTCTTAATAGTCCAATTTTTTATTGTCAGTTCGCAATTGGGAAGACTATGGTTTGGTAAGAATACATGCAGCTGCTGAAACTGTGTCATGAATAGCGTTCACGCTGACCTCAACGTCGGTATAATTCTGACTACAGACACGTCAAGTCTATTTGCGTACATTTCTTTACCTGTTTACTATTCCTGCGAGATACACACTTCGTATATAAATATGTATATTCACAGCCTTCTAAATTAGACATATCACAGAGTATATGAATGAGAGAGGAATTAAAAAACTGTGGCTGAGAGTGGGAATACTCCAGAAGGATTCTCGAAAGAATCCTTTGTGATGCAATGGAAGTGTACACATTCTCTATACACATTCCATCTTTACATATTCTTTCTTTACACATTCTACCTTTGTTAAACCTATTACTATGTAGTAGTAGACACTGCGCACGACAGCGAGCCTCTAAAATTCCGCGGCAAACAGGTTTCTACATACCGCACCGATACAGTACCCATCCCTTTGCTTGCATGTATTCATTTAAAAATGTCAATTTGTCAATATATAGCTCTGTCTGCGACTGCCGGAGCCAGTCAGCATTTTTATTATTATTATTAAAGATTATTTTATATTTTACGATACGATACGATACGAATTACGATATCAGGATTTTCATTTTGGGCGTCATCTGATAATTTTTTTTAAACAAATTAAAAATACGAACGCGCACGCATAAAAAAATAATAAAAACGCTAAAACGAATGCTCAAACATCACTGGTGGTGGAACTGACAAGGAACTCTGACTTCGAGTCGCCGACTCGCCGTTTTGTCGAAAACTGAAAACTGGTTGCAACTTGCCAGGCAATAAGTGCAACACCAGCAGGAATGTAAAATACCGAATACGCTCTCTCTGACGAACTGACGATCCCAAGACTTCACAATACAAAGCAAGAGTAGTAAACGACGGACACACTGCCACAGACCGACAATACATACGTCAATATGAGTCAGTCTTTTTGAGGAGAAGAACCGACATGTACCGCCGTGAACTATGAACTCCTGAAAGCGATACAACTTTCCCATTTTTGTTTTAAAAAACGACTATGTCGTTTACCAGAAGACTAGCCAGATCGATACGTCAAAATGTTTATAGCCAATCAGAACCATTCTGAAGTATCAAGGAGTAGATCTATATCTTCTTTCTGCTCGAAATGCTTATTTACTAATTTTACTTCAAACTAAAATTAATACTTTGAAATTTGACCAATAGAAACAGTCCCATCGCCAATTCCTCACCGGTCAACGGTTTTTAAAAAACAATCACAACTCTGGTACACCATTGGCAACAGTAAACACCGTAGTCCATAGACTATCACTGTAACACATTCTCATTAGTATTCATATTTACAATAATTTTACACGAGTATTAGCAAATACATACATTTCACGCGTTCCCTATATCACACACCTCGTCTAACAAACACATCATAATAACGTCTTTTTTACTACAAGGTGCTTTCATAAACCTGCTGCTGTAGTCGCCCAGTTGGCACCTCTCTCTCTTGGGCTCTTATACTACAGACATGTCGTTTCTTTTCATTGTCACCATCCCTTCGGGGGTGCGTCTGAAACGCTCTGGTGTAGTGCAAGAGGTCAACGACACCATCCACTACGGCATAGCCAAGCAAGAACCATCCGATAGAAACCATGCGAAATCTTTAGGTCTCAAGAGCGTAGGCAGCACTAACGAAGACAGTACGAGTGTGATCAAGCCACGGGATAGCAAAGGCGAAAGCAAAAATCTGCTTTCTGTGGTATTGAGCCACGACGATACAGAGAGTCTGGAGTTCGCTGAGACAAGTAGACACAGTGCATTGGGTGAGATATTCCCAGAAACAAGCAGGAAGAGCACATCTGGTGGTGCTTGGCAAAGCGAAAACGCGCAGACGGGCCGGAACCTTAACGGGCAGAGTGGCTTAAAGGGCGAACGGAAACTAGCGGAGTCACGGGTGCAAGGGGTGAAGCAGGTGGAGGCTAACATGCAAGGGTTATTCGCTCCGACTGCGAAGGAAAGAACAGGAAGTGCATTGGGTATGTGTTTGACAGAAATAGAGACACTTCATTACAATATGTATATACGCCTGTTTGTTGATGATTGTGTCTGTAAAGTGTGTATGTGTCTGTATGTGGCGGCACGAGGGAGATAAATAATTGAGAAACGGGAGGTCAGGAATCTATAACAAGAACTTTTAAGTAATGACTATGTCAATGTATACACAAACACACACACAAATATATACACAAGTACATATATATATATATATATATATATGTGTGTGTGTGTGTGTGTGTGTGTGTGTGTAGATATATACGTATATATATATATATATATATATATATATATNTATATATATATATATATATATATATATATATATATATTATATATATATATATATATATATATA